CACAAATCTCTTGAACTAAATAAAATAATTATTATTAATAATAATTAAAATTGTGTGTTTTTTCTTTGTTTCTTGGACTCGCCCTATAATAAAATATACCTATATAAGGCAGTTTACCTTTCAGCTATGCATATGCAGCACTTTAATATCTTTCAATTATTGCACAGATTTATTAAAAAATAAATGCCATCAAATATATAAAAAATCAATTAAGAATTTGGGCTGGGAAGCTTTGTTTGGTTTTATGGTCCAGCTGCAGACTGCAAATGATTAAGTTTGCATTTATAAAATGACACTTTTATTTTCTTGTGGCTGTCGACAAAGCACACTCACACACCCACACCCACACACACTCATTTGCAAACACATGCCAATACATGGGTGTGTTATTTTTTGGCAGCTTTTTGCATTTGTCATGGGACATTTCTTGACCCCACGTAGTTCTGGTCTGCTCTTCAGACCCGCCGCCGCTGTCATTGTCAGCATGAAAAGCATTTAAATAAAACGTACTTGCAATAAATTTTCCACAGTTATAGAGAGCTTTTCACACACACACACACACATACATGTGTGTGTTGGCATATACACGTAGTTTTTTCTAGCCACAGACTGCTCTACGATTTAAATATTTAATCTGATTTTCCATTTCACTGCCTCATAGAAAATTACAATAATTGTGTGCAATGCAAAGTGCATTTGGAATATATTTATATATATGAACATATATGAAGTGTGTATATAAATTGGTATATATTTATTTGTATAGTTGAGTGTCTGTTTTAAGTGGCTCTCTGGACACTTCAGCTGGCGCATTTGTGCCGCATTTAATAGCACTTAGCTACTTGCAACACGTTTGCCGCAAAATGCAAAATTTGTTAACATATTATCGAATTATGGCAAAGGCAAATTTTGAATAGCTTCATCCATGCCTGAAACACATTAAATAGCCAGCATAGCTCACAGCTGAATGCGAGTTTCGAGTCGTTGGCAAATTTATTGAAAGAGCAAAATCTTTGAATTGTAGAAGTTCGAATACTCTTATATGTAAATGCAGATGCTGCTGTGCCTGAACTCTTAGAATCCATACAGATCATAAGTAATGATTTATTGGTGAATTTATTTAAGGCTAAAAGAAAGATTTTATTACAGAGAATAGAGTGGAAATTTTTAAAGATTTTTATTTTACTTATTTTACTATGGATTTTAGATTTGCGATAATTTTTATTTTTGTATTATTAATTTTATTTGTTATTATTATAAATTAAGTATAAGTATTTATATACGCACGTGGAGTCTGCACGTCAACTTAAATTACGAGGCACACGGTTTGATACAATACTCTCATGCTTTTATAATCCTATTATCCACCATGGGAATAATATTAAAATGCTGTATTAATACCAGGCAGACAATATATGTACAAAATAAAATAAATAAGTAAAAATAAACAAAATATTTGTTCTATTTTGTATACTCATTTTTACTTTTTACATTTTACTACATTTTAGCAAGAATCTTAGTTTATTTTGCTTTCTATCAATAATATAAATTCATAATAATTTTGTGATTCTTTTTTAAAATTTTATACATGTTTTTATATTACATATGACAATTTTTTTCAGCAGTAAAAATATATTTTTTTTCTTTTAAATTATAATAATAATAATAATAATAAGAATAATACAAATTTTTAAAATTGAATTTGTTATTTTTATTTTATAAACATCAAAAATATCAATAAAACTCATTATAAAATATATATAATACAATTGTAATATATGTATATTTATTCAAATTAAAATTTTCCTAATTGTGTATGGCAAGAGTTGGAAATAAATTGCATTTTTGTCTATACTTATTCGCTCTAAGAACAATTTCTGGCTGAGGCAGATAAGTGTCATATGAAACTTTTATATAAATACATATGACATATTACATATATTAACTAAACTCATTTCATCATGTTATTCTTATATAAACCGTTCTTAACTACAGCTCTCCTCTGTCGACCTTTTCCATGACCTGAAACATGCTATTGTAGAGCAGCTCTTTCACATCGATGGCAGCTAGGAAATCGAGATGATTGAATTTCTTGTAGGCCAATTTCTCATCGTGCACGACATTTGGCAGCTGCTTGCGCAGCCGCTGCACATCTTTGACCGCAACGAGCAAATCATTTTGGCCATAATACAAGGCGACCTTGCAATCGATCTTGGCCAACTTGTACGCCGGCGGCTTTGGGCTGCCATAATAGCGGCGATTCACATTCGGATCTTCGTAGTCATACTTGTACAAGCCTCCGCTCAGCACCTGCTGACCATAGTGCCCCAATGATTTGATCGAACTGCCAGCCGGATATTGGGCCAGTAAGATGGGAGTGAGTGTGCTGTTCATCTGATCCAAGTCCGTGCCAAATAACTGCATTATAAACTCCATACAGGTTGATCGAAATGCAAAGCTGCATAATTTATACGACAGCTCACGCCACACTTCTGTTTCCGGTGGTATTTCATTGATTCCTAGAGCTTGAGCGAATCTCTGTAAAATATGATGGAAATTTTAGAGTTAGAAAGAGGAGAAATTGCACTTGAAAATAATAATTATATATATTTTTTTTAATGTCAAATCAAAGTTATATATTATAAAATATATTCTTATGCAATATTCAAAATAAATATATATGCATAAAATATTTTAATGCTGAATATTTAACTCATTAATTTGCAACTTTGTTTTTTATATATTCACTTCATGAAGAAACTTACCATAATGCCTGAAACATGTGGAGCAATCGCTCGAAGTAGAGGAAGCTCCACATTTTTAAAATAGGCAACTGGGGCGAGCGCCTGCAGCAGCTTGATCTTCTTCATGTAGGCTGGTCGCTCGGCGCCCAGCACAAAGGCCGCTGTGGTGCCCTGCGAGTGGCCCACATAGTGCAGCTGATCGTAGCCCTTGCTGTGCTCCAGCACATAGTCAATGACCGCCGGCAGATCATAGACGCCAATCTCATGGAACGAAAAGTCCCAGAATTGTCGCTGCAATATATGAAATTTGCGATGTTTGCGCGAGTAACGATTGCCGCGGCAATTCATCAGCCACACATCATAGCCGCGATCACTGAGCAGAAAGGCCAAGCCATGCTCCGCACCCGTCATCACCCAGGCCGAGGAGCTGTCCTGCAGACCATGCACCAGCAGCACAGGCTGAGCCCCGGGCTTGGGTATGCGATGCAGTGTCAAACTGAAGCCATCCTTGGTATCGACTCTGTGCTCCTCACACTTGTAGCCGTACTTTGTGATGAAACCCGGCTGATAATCGATGAAGAGAGATATTCTATTATATTATATAGACAAATATTTTAATAACACTCACTGTTCGTAAATGCGCAATTTCAATAATTTCTGGATCGTATTTTATAATATCCGCCAGCAGCCAATTAGCATTGAGGCACAGACTGATCAGGCAGTAATACAAGCACCTCATATTAATATGTTCTATTAAAATGTATATAGTATTTATTATTAGTACGTATAGTATTCACTGTTAAAAACTAGTTAAACTGGCTGTCGCTATCAAGCATCAATTATCTGGTGATATATCCGCTTGACACACTTACCTGCAATGTAAGCAAGCTAATCAAATTATATTACGATAAACTATAGAATTGCTAATTTTATTAATAAATTGCATGTCTGGTTCAAGTTCAATGTTACACAGATTTTTGCAACGTTCACATCGATTCTGCTATTTGTCAGAAATTGTGATAAGTAGATGAAACTAGTTGTAAATACATCCGACAAGGTTTTTTGAATTGTAAGGCAGATATAATATAAGACAGGGTATAAGGTACATCAAATATATTTTATATGTTATAATTTAATATAACATAATATAAAATGTACAGCAAATGTAAAAATATATTTAACAATAATTTTAACAAAAATTGATTTAATATTTAATTAACAATTAAACTTGGATATATAGACATAATTATACACCTTCCTTTGCTTACTTTTTATACCCTAAACACATTGAAAGTGTGAAATTTACAATGTAGTTCCACGTATTGAAAACACAATCATCGTAATATTAACACTTTAGATACCACGGAATCTCTGCCTTCAAATTTGTTTATATTGATGTATATATGATATATAATTTTGTAATATCATATAGGGTATTCCCATATTTGAATTGCTATACACATTTGAAGGCAATCTGGAATAAAAGCTCTAAATAATGACCTCTGTGGCAGCTTCTATATATACATATATATCATAGATTTTTATGTAGCGAATTCTAATGCTACAAGCTCGTATTACCCGACCTTATATAAGCAATAATATATAAGGTCGACTAATATAATGATAAATAATTGTAATAAAAAGTTTTTAATGCATACCAAACACCTTAATATAAGTTGTAAACGCGGCAAATATTTTTAAATGAATAAATAAATATAGGTATATTAAAGGAGTGGTCCAAAAAAATATGTATGCATTTTAGAATATTAAAAATATTTTCTAATAAAAATAAACATTCGAATATTTAAGGGATTATCTCAGGTGCTAAGGAGGGTTCATAGTAGAACATGTATATGAAATATCTACTGACGTTTACTAAACCTGCTACAATACTTTTTCTAACAGCATGCAAAAATATAATTTTTTGGGCGTGACGTCTCGTCAAATAGTATTTTCTTTTTATTATTATACATATATTCATGCACGCTTCGTTTCGTAGAGAAAAATCAGATAACAAGTGTATCTTTCACAGTCAAGACGTGGGACTAGCTTCATTGGCAGTTAAATAACTGCAAGTCTGCCATTTATATACTTGGGGCTTGGCATCTTAAAAACAAATTTCTGATAAAATTAACTCTAATTGAATTGAATTTATTGCTCAGATTTCTGTTTATATTTTATTTACTTCACTTTTGAATATTTATTGCTATTATTTATTATTTTTAATATTATGTACAGTCCCTAATACATTATTAATGCTCATCGATTCTTTAGAATTCCTTGTATGCAAATTTTTCTAATAGAATTTAAGTTGGCACAAAATAAGGACACTTGCTATGCTCTCGCATATACTTACTTTAATTACAATTATTAAACAGTATCACGTATACGACACGTTATCACACGTTAAATGCTGAATGCATAAAACTTTCACTTTAGATTTTCAGCAAATTAAATACAGATTTTGCAGACATTTTGCGTAAAATACTGTTTGTTCCATTTCAAATGGATTTACTTTTGAATACTGCGAATTCGCTTCAGCTCATAATGTTGCTTTAAGTTCTCTTTTGCATATACTCCTATAGCTATGGCTAATTCCTAGGAGCTGGCGTTTATTGAACTGCTCTCGACGCTCGATGAGCTCTCACTGAACTATTCCGCCGAGTGAGATGCTTGACATCAGTAGTCGATAGCTAGTTAGCTAGAGTCCCGCAATGCTTATTATTGGCTGATAAGTTCAGTGGCAGCTGCGAAAGCAGCACACGCGATTGCAATTTACTCTTAACGAATGTTAAATAATTCAAAATATTTATACGAGAAATTCATTCATAAATTATTAATC